TTTATAACATGATACCAATCATATCAGAAATCTTTATAACATGATACCAATCATATCAGAAATCTTTATAACATGATACCAATCATATCAGAAATCTTTATAACGTGATTCCAATCATATCAGAAATCTTTATAACGTGATACCAATCATATCAGAAATCTTTATAACGTGATACCAATCATATCAGAAATCTTTATAACATGATACAAATCATACCAGAATCTTTATAACATACAGATCATATCAGAATCTTTATAACATACGGATCATATCAGAATCTTTTTAAAATACAGATCATATCAGAATCTTTATAACATGATACCAATCATATCAGAAATCTAAAAACATGATACCAATCATATCAGAAATCTTTATGACATGATATCAATCATATCAGAAATCTTTATGACATGATATCAATCATATCAGAAATCTTTAAAACGTGATACCAATCATATCAGAATCTTTATAACATACAGATCATATCCGATCTTTATATCATACAAATTCTATCAGAACTGTTTTTAAACATGATACCATGCATATTAGAAATCTTTATTACAGAAAACAGTTCATATTAGAAACTTTTCATGATCAGGGATTGGGCAGCCTAGTGGTTAAAGTGTTTGCTCGTCATGCCAAAGGCCTGGGTTTGATTCCCTACAGATGATAACCAGCCTTAAATACCATTCCACTCCTAATACGGCAGCGCATCAACTATGTACATGAACAAGCATTGAATTGTGCCATCACAAAGGATCTAATATAAAATAATACTGTAATTCAATATTTGGTCAAAGGGATGATTAACCTACATCATCGTGCAGTGAATGCATGGCTAGCCTAGTGGAGTCTTCTCAGGTCCCCGATAGAGTTTCCAAGGAGATGTACAATCCAAATAAATTCAAGAGTCCCTTGTCATTGGGTATTTCATCCAAGTGAAAGAGCAATTTAAGGCCCTATGGGCAATCATTTCTGCAGCCTGCTCTTTTATGTGGTGGGTAAAATGTGACTTCCGTACACTGGAATTCTCAAATGGGCATCTGAGTCAGAAATAAAACGCTCCTACTTTCAATAATGATTTATCTCCGTGGAGAGCACTTGTAAATTCTGAGTTTTGTGACATTTTATTATCACTTTTTCAGACATGCAAACTCCAGCTTGTTACGCCATTATATGTAATCGTGGTTTTAGATTCACTGCATGGGCTTGGGGCCTGGGTCGGAATTAAAGGCTGGAGACGCAGTCACTATCTGGGTCTTTGTGAAGGGGCATTGCGACCTGGTGTTTATCATGTAAATGTTCTGCATTTGTGTTGTTGCATATCGTTGCAAAAAATGGCTACCTGTTTCACGTGTTAAAACTAGTTCAATTGTTGCCTGCACGATAAATTTAACAGGCATTTCTATTTAGATAAGAAATACAATCGACGTTCTAACCGCATTTTCCTCACTCCTTTGCAAAGTTTCATTTAAAACAAGGAATTCCCCTTAGACTACTGTATTATACTGAAATGCTGTTCAAAGCACGGTTAAAACACATTTTTTAAACTGATGAGAAGATAGTATAGATGGGTAACTTATCGGTTTTACAGTTGTAGCCCCAAAAAATTACAAATGTGAAAAAAGGTTCGTTCATCATAATACCTTGTCGTCAGCTGCACGTCTAACTTCTATATGCCACTCAAACTTGTTTTTGAAACTTTAAATTTTCCATTAAACCCAACACACTCTCTTGCTCATGCTTGCTAAAAAAGATCACTTTTCTTTCTAATAAAGAAATGGAAAAAAGATTATTGATAAATGTTGGTTTCATTCACATTTGACTATTTTTGGATTGCATGTTTATGATTCTTTTTACATCAGTCATGTTTTTATCAAAAAAGAAACCTTTGATCTTTGCCTCCGTTAATGGATGCAATGGCTGCGTGCATCTCATCATGGCTGTCAAAAGGTTCTTAGTTTTTTTCTTGAAAGAGTTGAAAGAAATGGACCTTTAGATAGAAGAGTTCTAATCTTTGGCTGTATTTGGTAGCTTTCATATCCTGATTAAGTACATGAAAATGGCTAGTCATTTGTCAGGAAGATCATGATTGACAATACAGATTACAGTTTGCGTATTTGTTATTTGAGCTGGAGATTAGACTAACATTTAGTCTCTGAAATCTTATATTACACAATATCCTTCTTGACTCTAAAAAAATCAAAAAAATCCCTATGCTGATGTGGAATAGAGCTAGCTTGAGCTGGCTAGGCTTGCTTTTGTATGCATTTCTAGATTATTATTTTTTCATAAAATAAATATATTCCACGGTCATGGTGCAGGACTAGCTAGAGATTTGCAATGCTCATCTCACCATTAGCCAGCATACAGTCCCTGAAACAAATATTCCAGTACAGCCCATGCAAGAAATATTTAGCAAGTCTAGATTACTGCAGTATGAAAATGAAGTCTCTGGGCTCCTTTTTATTATATTTCATAACTATAATTGAACAAATGTTTTTATCCGAAAAGGTTGTGTTTGTGTCAGGGTCCAGATGTTAGTTTAATCTAGCCCTGTGCAACTTGGTATGTGGTGTGCTGGGTGGTAGGGCTGTCACGATACAGGTACCTCACTGTACCGATCTCGACTTTGAGGTCAAGATACGATACGTATCTCGATACAGCAATACCGACCTTTTATGCGTAAATTTAGAAGCAAACTTTTTAATTCCATATCACGTTCACAATTATGTGTTCTAACCACTATCAGTAGAGTATTTTGTAAAATAATAATACTTAGAAAAGATTGATTCCGTTTATTCAAACAAGTGTCTGACACTAACAAGTAAGTGTCAAATTCAGAAAACATGACATTTTGATTCGAGAAGAAAAATCAATCGATACACGAACAAATGGATACTGATTTCAATAAAATTTCGTATTGATATAAATTTACATATCATATCGTGAGAATTATCTACCGATGCATCGGTACAATCGGTGAATCAGGACGTCCCTACTGGGTGGCTAATTTGGGTCAGGTAAAAATTGAAGTGTTTTAGTAGGGCATTAAGTCTGCAATGACTTGCTGGCTGTAGGCAGATAAAACTGCCTTATATGCCACTCAGTCTAGGCATCTATTGGTCAGCTAAGATTGGGACCTATTCAGTGTGCTTGTTGAAACAGTCCAAGGTTGAATACCAGCTTGATTATATCAGGGTATGGTGTGCGATACTATTCACTGATTCTTAAGTGTGAGAGCATAATTACTTATAGTTAGCATTCAGGCAAGTAGTATGCGATGTATTGGGAAGATGTTATATTTGGGATAACACTTTCTAAAAAAGGTACAGATTCTTCAAATCTGGACCAGACAATCCAGTGATCGATTATGTAATGATCCATGCCATTGGAGTATGTTGACACGCCATCAATCAAGTTATCCTTTACGACCACCATGGTTGGCTGGGGCCAAGATTTACTACCCATAGGGTTAGAAATATTTTTGTATGTGCACTAGTGCAAAGATCACTTCCCCGCGCACCAGTGTATTGTTTCAGTCATCCAAACAGCACTGTTGACGTCATCCGAATTTTATTGTGACGTAAGGTCGGAATGACGTCATACCAGAAATGACGTCATAGGTGAAAATTGTTGACGTCATCCGACAAATTGTGGTTTTCTAGGACAGTGGTGGTCATTAATGAATTTTATTGAAGGGGAGCTCAAGAGAATTAAGAAATAATGGGTAATACAGAAATTATTACACTCGCATGTGTGTCATACTGATTTTATAATACACATGTAAGAATGCATGTTTACTCTCTCACTCGGGAAATACAAGAATTCTGACAATCGTTATGTAAAATCAGTATGACACACATGCTCGTATAATAACCTCTATTTCTCACTGAATGACCCTGTGAAATTTGGTTGGGCGATTAAGGAAATATACATTGTCATTGAATGCCTGGTCCGATCTGCCAGATAACCTTGTGTCTGTGTTAGCTGTATTGTTGAGATTACATCCCCTTTGATCTGTCCAAGTATAGAATGTCTACTTGAAGATGAAGGAAACAATGTTTTAACGTGTAGCTCCCACTTCCTTTTAGCAGTCCAGTGTTCCTTCCTCCGGTTCCGTTGTGCTGGTTTTAATTCATGATTTGATGAAGAGTATAATTTATTTGTTTGTTTGTTGTTTAATGCCACACTCAGCAATATTCCAGCCATATGACGACGGTCTGTAAATAATCGAGTCTGGACCAGACAATCCAGTGTTTCACATCATGAGCATCGATCCACACAATTGGGATCGATGACATGCATCAACCAAGTCAGCGAGCCTGACAAACCGATCCCGTTAGTCGCCTCTTACGACAAGCAAAGTCGCTTTTACGGCAAGCGTGGGTTGCTATACCCCGGAATCTTCACGGATCGATGAAGAGTATTAATCTTGACTGATTTGGGATGCACCCATTTCTGTAGTATGAGCAGTACGTGAACCTTTGCTTAGCATATACCAGCTGTGAAGGGTGGTATGTAAAGCCTTGATTTCCATGCTTCATTTTGAACTCAGCTTACCAATAATAGGTAGTTGTTAGCGGGACTGACAGCCCAAGTGAACTTGTAACACATGTGGTGTCTCCTTAGGCAAGTAAGTTAGTTCCAAGCCTACCTTTGTTCACCCAGCAGTAAATGGGTACCCGGTAGGATGAGATGGTAATGTGGCTATTAACCTTCTAGCAGCTTGGGATGTAAACTCGCCAGGGAGCAGAAAATGCAAATCAAATGCACTACTGATCCATTGACTGTGGTAATAAAGTGGATCTATCATGGCCTATGCACATTGGAGCAGTTATAAATTGGAATGTGTTCAACACTAATTCACAGTTTAATTTTGTGAACTTATGGCATGGTGCTATCTTGAACGTCTCTCCATCCGTTAACTTCATGTCATTGGGGCCTGTGGCACCCGTGACAGTTGATGTCCCACTGATCGTTGTCGTCCTTGGTTTCAGATAGGACTCTACAATCATCTCCCTGTTTCTGGACACAGCAAGCTGACAGACTTTCTCATTCAGTGGTGGAGGCCAAGGAATGAATGACTGGCGGCCGTTTATCTATGGAGGTCTAGCTTCTATGACCGCAGAATGTGGTAAGCATTTTAATTTCGGCTTTGCATTCACCATCCTCAATTATCTATGGTATTAATAATATCTCCATTCCCTTATGATCCCTGGACCCTTTCGTCAACTTTGCTTGGAGTTTGATTGACTGCAGGTGCTGAGAAAAGTCGTCCAATCAAACATCAGACATGAACGGGAGAAATACTGTGCTAATTTGTAGGAGACAGGGGTGGTAGGTGGGGAGGGTTTATTGAGTAGGAGGGAGTAGAGGAGGGGTGATGATTGGGGGTGGTAGGTGGGGAGGGGGTAGAAGAGGGGTGATGATTGGGTGTGGTTGGTGGAGAGGGAGTAGAAGAGGGGTGATGATTGTGGGTGGTAGGTGGGGAGGGAGTAGAAGAGGGGTGGTAGGTGGGGAGGGGGTAGAAGAGGGGTGGTAGGTGGGGAGGGAGTAGAAGAGGGGTGGTAGGTGGGGAGGGAGTAGAAGAGGGGTGGTAGGTGGGGAGGGGGTAGAAGAGGGGTGATGATTGGGGGTGGTAGGTGGGGAGGGAGTAGAAGAGGGGTGATGGTTGGGGGTGGTAGGTGGGGAGGGAGTAGAAGAGGGGTGATGATTGGGTGTGGTAGGTGGGGAGGGAGTAGAAGAGGGGTGATGATTGGGTGTGGTAGGTGGAGAGGGAGTAGAGGAGGGGTGATGGTTGGGGGTGGTAGGTGGGGAGGGAGTAGAAGAGGGGTGATGATTGGGGGTGGTAGGTGGGGAGGGAGTAGAGGAGGGGTGATGATTGGGGGTGGTAGGTGGGGAGGGAGTAGAAGAGGGGTGATGATTGGGGGTGGTAGGTGGGGAGGGAGTAGAAGAGGGGTGATGATTGGGTGTGGTAGGTGGGGAGGGAGTAGAAGAGGGGTGATGATTGGGTGTGGTAGGTGGGGAGGGAGTAGAAGAGGGGTGATGATTGGGGGTGGTAGGTGGGGAGGGAGTAGAAGAGGGGTGATGATTGGGGGTGGTAGGTGGGGAGGGAGTAGAAGAGGGGTGATGGTTGGGGGTGGTAGGTGGGGAGGGAGTAGAAGAGGGGTGATGATTGGGTGTGGTAGGTGGGGAGGGAGTAGAAGAGGGGTGATGATTGGGTGTGGTAGGTGGAGAGGGAGTAGAGGAGGGGTGATGGTTGGGGGTGGTAGGTGGGGAGGGAGTAGAAGAGGGGTGATGATTGGGGGTGGTAGGTGGGGAGGGAGTAGAAGAGGGGTGATGATTGGGTGTGGTAGGTGGGGAGGGAGTAGAAGAGGGGTGATGATTGGGGGTGGTAGGTGGGGAGGGAGTAGAAGAGGGGTGATGATTGGGTGTGGTAGGTGGGGAGGGAGTAGAAGAGGGGTGATGATTGGGTGTGGTAGGTGGAGAGGGAGTAGAGGAGGGGTGATGGTTGGGGGTGGTAGGTGGGGAGGGAGTAGAAGAGGGGTGATGATTGGGGGTGGTAGGTGGGGAGGGAGTAGAAGAGGGGTGATGATTGGGTGTGGTAGGTGGGGAGGGAGTAGAAGAGGGGTGATGATTGGGGGTGGTAGGTGGGGAGGGAGTAGAAGAGGGGTGATGATTGGGGGTGGTAGGTGGGGAGGGGGTAGAAGAGGGGTGATGATTGGGTGTGGTAGGTGGGGAGGGGGTAGAAGAGGGGTGATGATTGGGGGTGGTAGGTGGGGAGGGAGTAGAAGAGGGGTGATGGTTGGGGGTGGTAGGTGGGGAGGGGGTAGAAGAGGGGTGATGATTGGGGGTGGTAGGTGGGGAGGGGGTAGAAGAGGGGTGATGATTGGGTGTGGTAGGTTGGAGGGAGTAGAGGAGGGGTGATGATTGGGGGTGGTAGGTGGGGAGGGAGTAGAAGAGGGGTGATGATTGGGGGTGGTAGGTGGGGAGGGAGTAGAAGAGGGGTGATGATTGGGTGTGGTAGGTGGGGAGGGAGTAGAAGAGGGGTGATGATTGGGGGTGGTAGGTGGGGAGGGGGTAGAAGAGGGGTGATGATTGGGTGTGGTAGGTTGGAGGGAGTAGAGGAGGGGTGATGATTGGGGGTGGTAGGTGGGGAGGGAGTAGAAGAGGGGTGATGATTGGGGGTGGTAGGTGGGGAGGGAGTAGAAGAGGGGTGATGATTGGGGGTGGTAGGTGGGGAGGGGGTAGAAGAGGGGTGATGATTGGGTGTGGTAGGTTGGAGGGAGTAGAGGAGGGGTGATGATTGGGGGTGGTAGGTGGGGAGGGAGTAGAAGAGGGGTGATGATTGGGTGTGGTAGGTGGGGAGGGAGTAGAAGAGGGGTGATGATTGGGGGTGGTAGGTGGGGAGGGAGTAGAAGAGGGGTGATGATTGGGTGTGGTAGGTGGGGAGGGAGTAGAAGAGGGGTGATGATTGGGGGTGGTAGGTGGGGAGGGAGTAGAGGAGGGGTGATGATTGGGGGTGGTAGGTGGGGAGGGAGTAGAAGAGGGGTGGTAGGTGGGGAGGGAGTAGAAGAGGGGTGATGATTGGGTGTGGTAGGTGGGGAGGGAGTAGAAGAGGGGTGATGGTTGGGGGTGGTAGGTGGGGAGGGAGTAGAAGAGGGGTGGTAGGTGGGGAGGGAGTAGAAGAGGGGTGATGGTTGGGTGTGATAGGTGGGGAGGGGGTAGAAGAGGGGTGATGATTGGGTGTGGTAGGTGGGGAGGGGGTAGAAGAGGGGTGATGATTGGGGGTGGTAGGTGGGGAGGGAGTAGAAGAGGGGTGATGATTGGGGGTGGTAGGTGGGGAGGGAGTAGAGGAGGGGTGATGATTGGGTGTGGTAGGTGGGGAGGGAGTAGAAGAGGGGTGATGATTGGGGGTGGTAGGTGGGGAGGGAGTAGAAGAGGGGTGATGATTGGGGGTGGTAGGTGGGGAGGGAGTAGAAGAGGGGTGATGGTTGGGGGTGGTAGGTGGGGAGGGAGTAGAAGAGGGGTGATGATTAGGGGTGGTAGGTGGGGAGGGAGTAGAAGAGGGGTGATGGTTGGGGGTGGTAGGTGGGGAGGGAGTAGAAGAGGGGTGGTAGGTGGGGAGGGAGTAGAAGAGGGGTGATGATTGGGGATGGTAGGTGGGGAAGCCTTATGGGGAGGTGAGGGTAGCATCAGCTTTGCACAGCCTAAATATAATAGTCCAAACTGCGTAGACTGGCTTGTGGTCATGTCAGTCTGTTGTCAGACCCTCATGCATAATACATAGGGGGAGTTTAAATATTTAGTTTGAATTTACATTAAGTTGCCTTAGGTCACCTGTTGAATGAGTGGATGTTATTCTCTTACAAAAAAACAACATGTTTACAAAAAAAACACGCTAAAAATAGAAAAAAACTCCATGACCCAAACGAGCTCACAAACACATTATTCATTTCAAAGGCAGCATTATTGTAACAAGACCTGGCAATTTGTCCTCTATATGACTTTGACAATGGACTACTTCCCTGTCCAATGCACATGCATTCCCACACGTAGGCTGACAATATTAATAGCAGGCACTGTGCTATACAGGTCTAGCGGATATTGTGGCAGACGTATTGACCGTCCGTCCAGTGGATTCACTGGGTATTGGAGAGTTTGACACTTTCCTCTCCTGTTGATTGATTTGAACACCAGAAATAAAAACAACTTTAGAGTATTGATTGTTTTGTTTGTTGGATCAAGTTGGTTTGATTTGTGAAATTAGTTGTTTTATTAGAAATGAGTTTGTTTTTGGTTGAATTGTCTTTTCATTTGTAATAGAAAGGAAAATAGGAAAGTTCTAGAAATCTAGACTTCCTATGGTGTTGTAGACTTGCTTGATTTTGGATAAAAGAGTGTATTAAGGGAGAGGAACAATATTCCAGTTATATGACGGCAGCCTGTAAATAATTGAGTCTGGACCAGAAATTCCAGTGATTGCTATCATAAGCATTGATCTATGCAATTGTGATATGATGACATGCATCGACCAAGCAAGCCTGACCACCCCAAAAGTTGGGTGTATTGAGGGAGAGGAAAAGTGGGGTTTATTGAGGGAGAGCAAAGGTGGGGTTTATTGAGGGAAAGCAAAGGTGGGGTGTATTGAGAGAGAGGAAAAGTGGGGTGTATTGAGAGAGAGCAAAAGTGGGGTGTATTGAGGGAGAGCAAAGGTGGGGTTTATTGAGGGAGAGCAAAAGTGGGGTGTATTGAGGGAGAGCAAAAGTGGGGTGTATTGAGGGAGAGCAAAAGTGGGGTGTATTGAGGGAAAGCAAAGGTGGGGTTTATTGAGGGAAAGCAAAGGTGGGGTTTATTGAGGGAGAGGAAAAGTGGGGTGTATTGAGAGAGAGCAAAGGTGGGATGTATTGAGGGAGAGCAAAGGTGGGGTTTATTGAGGGAAAGCAAAGGTGGGGTTTATTGAGGGAGAGGAAAAGTGGGGTATATTGAGGGAGAGGAAAAGTGGGGTGTATTGAAGGAGAGCAAAGGTGGGGTGTATTGAGGGAGAGCAAAAGTGGGGTGTATTGAGGGAGAGCAAAAGTGGGGTGTATTGAGGGAGAGCAAAAGTGGGGTGTATTGAGGGAGATGTAAAGCTGGTTTAACTATTATGATATTTTGCCAATGTATACCACTGAGTGTGAAACCAGTGTAACATGTTATTTTCAGTATTCATCCTATAAGTTGACGTAAAACGAGAAGGCAATGTGTTGTTAATTCATCCTCTAGCATCAGTTTTTCCTATAAATATGATCAACACCAAGAAAAAAAGCATTGTAACTTGTTATATAATATGTTTGTGCTTTTTGATGAATAATTTTATTGTTGGTTTACAAATCTGTGACATGACAAATTGCAAATAATATTAAAATGACTTTTTACTTATATTTTATTAACATGCCGCTTCTGATGTATGTAAAGGATATAAAAAGAAATTAAGATAAAAGTTAGTTTGTGTTGAACAGAGGATTCATTTGGAATTACGAAATTCAGAGCAAACTGTTTATCGCAAAGTTTGAAGCGATGTAGGTAAGAGTTACAGCCCTTTGATTTGACATACCCAGTTGCGCAGTCGATATGGCGGGAAATTGGTGATAT